ATCTGCTCAATCTTAATCGTTCTTCATAGGGATGATGCAACTATTAAGTGCATTCTTGGATTTTAAATTCTGTTAATGCTTCAATTACTCAAATTGTTGTCTTCTTGAAGAATTCTCTCAATGTATGGAACGGTCTCAAATAGAATTTTTCTAAAGTTGATCGCATCCGTGTTTTAAACTTGCTTGTTGAGATTATTAATCTCAAGCAAGGCTCAAAGTCTGTGCTTGAATATTTCACCGAGTTGCATGGATTGTGGGAAGAATTGAACCCTTACAGATCTATCCCATGTTGCACCTGTGTTAAGTAATGTTGATGCAAAGTTATGTGTAGTGCACATGATTTTTGACTTGAAGATCAAATCATTCAGTTCTTAACAGGTTTGAAGGATAAGTTCTCTGTGATTAAGACTCAAGTTTTGTTAATGGACCCACTTCCATACATAAGCAAGGTCTATTTTATGGTAATACAAGAAGAAAGTAATAATGTGTCTTTACTTTCTAGAGTTGATTCTAGTATAAATCTTGAAGAAGCTAACACTCTGATCAATGCCTATGATTCTAGAAAATTTGTTGATCGTGGTAAAAACCCTAATTCTTTTGGTGGTTATCATAATTCTAAGAAGGATAGTAGATTGTGCACTTTCTGTAACATGTCAGGCCACATAATTGATGTATGTTATCGCAAGCATGGCTTTCCTCCTACATTTGCTAAAACGCACTCTTATGCTAATGCATCTAATACATCTAATACATTTCAGGGGATACACAATCTGTGGTTAACAATGGTGAAGAAGGTACTACAAGTAACCATCCTGCTAGCATTACTAAAGAACAATATTCTCATTTGATTAGCTTGTTACAACAAACAAATTTGTTGCCTCTTAAACCAAAAACCAGCTCCGATCCCAGTGCCAATCACGTTTCCACTTATTTTGGTCATACGCTAAATGAGAATTCAGGTATCTCACACGTGTCAACAGTCACATGTTCTACCCACATTAAACCTGAATTTTGGATCCTTGATTCAAGTGTTAATGATCATGTATGCTCATCCCTACATTGGTTTAGTTCCTACCACAAAATTTTCCCTGTTAATGTATGTTTACCTAATAGTTCTATTATTGTAGCAAAACATGCAGGCACAGTTAGTTTTTAACCACAACTGTACCTCACTAATGTGTTATACACTCCTTATTTTTCTCTAAATCTATTATCAGTTTCTAAATTATTCCATTCTATCCATTGCATTTTTCAATTTTCTGACAATGCGTGTCTTATACAAGGTGTGGCTAGACAATTTGAAGAATTGTACAGACTTTTGGATGATGATGGTTGCCTTGCTGAAGAAGCATCTCAAACTCAATCCAACATTCACAATATTTCCTTATCCAAATCATATGTACCTGATATTTCCATCAATAATTGTAAAGTGATTCCTAAACAAGCCATATGGCACTTCAGATTGGGTCACTTGTCTCATGATAGGCTTTCTAAGATGTCTCAGATGTACCCTAAAATTTTCAATAATAATAAAGCAGTCTCTGATGTTTGCCATTATGCTAGACATAAGAAACTTCCATATAGTTTGAGTAATTCTAAGGCTACACACATATTTGAATTGTTGCACTTTGATACATGGGGTCTTGTTTCTATTAATTACATACATAACCATCAATACTTCCTCATAGTGGTTGATAATTATAGAAAGTTTGTATGGATTATCCTACTTAAAACAAAATCAGAAGTGTCTAACCATGTTTAACAATTCATTAATCTTGTAGAAAACCAGTTTCAAACTTGTCTCAAATCTGCCTGGTTAGAGAATGAACCTGAATTTTTTATTCCCCAATTTTATTCCTCAAAATGTATTGTACATCAAAGATCATGTGTTGAATATCCCCAACAAAATTCTAGGGTTGAGAGAAAACATAAACACATTCTCAATGTAGGAAGAGCATTACTATATCACTCAAACTTACCCAAGTCTTATTGGTCTTATGCAGTTAGCTATGCAACATTTGTTATTAATAGAGTTAACACACATTTACTCAACAATCAATCACCTTACCATATTCTCTATGAGACATTACTTGATATAAATCAGATTAAATTTTTTGGTTCTTTGTGTTATGTATCTACTTTGTCCAATCATAGAACCAAACTTGACACTAGAGCTAGAAAATCTGTTTTCCTAGGCTATGCAGTTGGATACAAAGGATCTCTTTTACTAGATTTACATTCTCATAGCATATTCATCTATAGAAATGTCATACATCATGAACATATTTTCCATATCATAGTCACTCTCCTTCTGTCACACAAGATTAGGAATATTTCAATAACTTACACCACAAGTCAAACCTCACTACATCTCAGTTTCATGATGTTCCTAAATCTACACTATCATTCAACCCCATGATCAACCTATATCCATCTACCTCTGACCAACTAGTTCCCAATCCATCTATTCATGATCCCAATATCTATCATGATAACCCACATATTCCTCAAACCCATGCCACATACCAACCTCATTCCACCGGTGTTTCTTCAAGAGTAAGGCACCAATCATCACACCTTAAGGATTATGTTTGTGCATCCATCAATGATTTACCAACACCATCCTCTTCAGGTACTCCTTACTTTATCTATGATTTCATTTCCTATTCTAATCTACCTCCATCTCAATATCGTTTTATCTTTTCTCTTAACACCAACCATGAACCTAAAACATATAATGAGGCCTGCAAATTTGAGTGTTGGAACTAAGCTATGAAACTTGAGCTTGATGCTTTTGAGAAAACAGGTACTTGAAAGCTTGTAGATCTTCTATCTAAAGTGAAACCAATAGGTTGTCGATGGGTTTATAAAATCATCACAAATCAGATGGTAGCATTGATAGATTTAAGGCAAGATTTAAGGCACAACTCGCTTCAAAAGGATATAACCAGATTGAAGGCTTAGATTACAGTGATACTTTCTCACCAGTTGTCAAACTCACCACAGTTAGACTTGTTCTAGCATTGGCTTCAATATATAATTGGCACTTACATCAACTTGATGTAAATAACGCTTTTCTGCATGGGGAATTGCATGAATATGTATGTATGATGACTCCTCCTGGTGTTCAGACATCCAAGTCAAACTAGGTTTGCAAGTTGATAAAATCCCTCTGTGGCTTAAAACAAGCTAGTAGGCAATGGTATGAAAATATAGCTTCACTTATCACTCACCACGGATACACACAAGCAGCTTCTGATCATTCATTATTTGTCAAGAAAGTACAGTACTCATTTACACTCTTACTTGTGTATGCTAATGATCTTATTTTGGCAGGTGACTCTGAAAGAATTCCAATTCATAAAGAATGTTTTTGCATCAAACCTTCAAGATAAAAGATCTTGGTGCACTCAAATATTTCTCAGGCCTGGAGGTTGCACAATCTAAACAAGGTATCTCCATTTGCTAAAGAAAATATTGTCTTAATCTCTTAACTAATTCAGGATTTTTGGGATCTAAACCAGCCAACACACTTCTGATCCTTCCATAAAGTTATGCCATGATAACGGTCCTGCCTTTGAGGACATTCCTTCCTACCGAAGACTTATTGGCAGATTGATTTATCTCAACACCACAAGGCCTGATATCACCTTCATCACAAAACAACTCAACCAATTTTTGTCAAAACCCTCCATTACACTACAATGCTGCTTGTAGAGTGTTAAGATACTTGAAACAATGTCCAGGTCGAGGTTCTTCTTTCCTCAAAACTCATCCCTTCATATTACTGAATTTTCTGATGCAGATTGGGCAGGCTGTATAGATACTAGAAGATTTGTGTCAAACTCCTACTTCTACCTAGGCAATTCTCTCATTTCATGGCAAACTAAGAAGCAAAACACAGATTCTCTATCTTCTTCTAAAGTTGAATACTGAGCTTTAGTTGCAGCAAACTTCAGTGGATTCTTTATCTGATCAAAGACATGTACATCGAGTGTTCTAAAGTTTCAGTCCTATTTTGCAATAGCCAAAGTGCACTCCACATAGCTATTAATCTTGTTTTCCAAGGACCAAGCATCTTGACATCGATTGTCACATTGTTCGAGAAAAGTTTTTGGCTGGAGTTATGAAGCTTATTCCCGTGTCTTCCAACAATCAGCTTGCAGATTTTTTCACTAAGCCATTTATTCCAAAGCCCTTACATTCTCTCATGATCAAGTTGAACTTGCTAAATATTTACCAAAGTTCAACTTGTGGGAGACTAATAACGGATGAAACTTGATAGTTATTTAAGGAGTTATTTAAGTTGGTTACATTATGTACAAGTTAGTTCCACTAGTTGATTTCTTTGCGCATTAAGCACCAAGCATACAAACTCACTTATATATAAACTTCTCTTAATCTCCATCAATGTATGAAAACTATTTCCTTCTTTCTCATCTTCTTCTTCATGCTATCTTTCATATATCATAATAATAACTAACATAAATAGGATGGAAGAAAAAAATGGGATGTTACATGAATATGTAAAAAAAAATAATAATAATAAAAAAAAATATAAAAAAAATTGGAATGTGATGAATAAGTTGTGTATAAATTGGAGGAATAAATAGAGTATTCTAGACTTATTACAAGTGAATTCCGTCAAATAAAAAAAAAATAATTTAAAAAGAAAAAGAAAAATGCAGGTAAACTTGTCCGTTGTCATTTCAACTAATTATTATTAACCGATTTATTCAGTTTTTAAAACAGTCATTTATTATACAACCAATATTGTTACATTATAACAATTTGTTAAATGGATATTTCGAAACAATTTGCGACAATCCATATGTAATTGTGTGGTAGAATATGTATACCAAAACAATTAACAAGATGTAGATTGTTAATAAAGTTGGCAATTAAACCTATTAATAGGTAATACATCTAATCTATCCAATTATAAATACATTTAAATCAATTAATATTTTTTGATCTTTTCTCATATAAAGATCACAAATATGAGTAATAAAGAGAAAATTGAAAATGTGAAGAAGTGGTTAATGCCTTCTAAGCCACTTCTTAGCATGTTATTAGTGCAAATTATTTCAACTGGAATGCAACTTTTGTCAAGAGTAATCTTGGTTAGGGGGACTTTCATTTTTGCATTCATTACTTATCGATATATTGTTGCGGCTATTTGTGTTGTTCCTTTTGCACTCTATTTTGAAAGGTAATTCATTTTTCATTATTCATTTCTATATTTTGAAAGAGTAATCTTGATTATTAGAAGACTAGGAAACTAATTAAGATGGTTATGATGATAGAGAACAAGTGAAAATGTTCGATTTCAATTGGAAAGTTTGGATCTGGCTTTTCCTTAATGCATTAGTGGGGTAAGTATAATATTTCGACCAAAAACAATTTCACATTTATGTTAATTTCTAATAAAGTGATGTTATCTATATGACAGAATGACAATGGCTATAGGATTATTTTACTATGGTCTTCGAGATACATCTGCGACTTACTCTGTCAATTTTCTCAACCTGATTCCTATTTTCACATTTTTCATATCTATCATATTAAGGTAATATCAAAATCTAAATACAAAGACAAATTCAACATACGCATAAATTATAGATTCATATTGCAGAATGGAAGACCTAAATATTAAGACATGGGGTGGTATAGCTAAATGCTTTGGAGCAATTTTATGTGTTGGTGGAGCATTATCTATAAGCCTTTACAAAGGAAAGGAAATTTATATTGGTAATCACAGTCACCATGTTGAGAGAATAGTTGTTGGAGCACAAAAAAGTCGCATGCTTCGTGGCACTTTCTTTTTGATTGCATCATGTTGTTGTTCCACGGTTTGGTTTATCATGCAAGTATGATATCTTGTCTTGTGTTTCCTATTTTGTATTCTAATTAAAAACACATGATGAAATATGATATGCATGACTCTAAATCTGAATAACAGGTTCGGTTGGCTAAGGTATTTCCGTTTAGGTATTGGACAACGATGATATCATGTTTTATGACAGCGATTCAGTCGACGATAATTGGTGTAGGCATGGATTTCAGTAAGGAAGCTTGGAAGCTAGAACTGAATCTGCAACTTGTTACTATAGTTTATGCGGTATGATCATTTTTATTCATTTGTTTGGTGAATTTGGATCATGAATATACTAATGATTTGAGTTTACTTGTGTAGGGAGTATTGGCTACTGCCGCAACATTTTGTTTAATATCATGGACAATAACAATAAAGGGACCAACTTATTCATCAATGTTTAATCCATTAGCTCTTGTTTTTGTTGCCATGTCTGAGGCTTTCATACTCGCTGAACCACTACGAATTGGAATGTATGAATACTTTTCCTTCTTTAATAGGTTTCTCACATGAGCGATGTTTTTCCTTTTAAATATTACTGTCTATTTTGTGACATTTTTTACCGTCGTTAAAAAATTTTAACGACAGTTTTTAACCGTCATTAAATATTACTGTTTATTTTGTGACACTTTTCACTGTCGTTAAAAAATTTTAACGGATGATTTTTAACCGTCACTAAATATTAGTGTTCATTTTGTAACTTTTTTAGCGTGTCTGAACTGACTCTTTAACCTATTTGCAGGTTAATAGGCATGGTTTTAATAATAATGGGATTATATTCGTTTTTATGGGGTAAAAGGAATGAGATGCCTCATTTTCATCAATCAAATGTAGCAATTTTGGAATTATCAACAAGCATGAGAGATGACCCTACGGCACCTAAGTATATCTCGGTTACAAATTGATGTTATTCTTGTACTTTAATTGAGGATCATGACATGACTTTTATGTAAAATTATCTAAGTAATTGATTGTTTGGTTATTGACTATTAGGAGAACAAAATTATCTAGACTACCATATAATTTTAATTTTAAATTTTTACTTTATTATAGAAAGGACAACAATATATTTTAGCATTTTATTTAAAGTATTCATTAATTTATATTGTTTTTTTAAAACAAAACAAAAAAATCAAATTAAGACAATAAAAAACATCACACCTATGGTGACACACCTCTAATTTAACTTAAAAAACATGTACCATCCAATACCATTTAAAACAACAACAATAATACAAAGAACTTTGGGAATTAGGTCAAAATCCAAGTAAGAGTTGATACAAAATAATTCATCTCCTTCATTAAAAATATTTATTTGTGCTTTACAATATGAGTGCTATAGAACATATGACACACGTCATCGACGGATTGAGAATATAAATGAGAATGCTTCTCGATGCCACGACTAGAGGTACATTGAGATTAAAGATTGATGAAGAGTTAAAAATATTGATTGAGAATATGTGTTAGAATGAGTATTGCTCAAGTGAAAGAGTGATGAAACAAAAAGATATTCATGTAGTAGATTCGACCACAACTTTATCAACTTAGATATAAGCATTTTCTAAGTAATTATCCAAATTTGCACAACTAATCCAAGAAAATGTTACCAAACTCAAATGCTTCATTGTGATTTTTGTGGTAGAGAACATGCAAATGGTAATTCTACAATAGAGGTCGAGAGTGCGGAACTTCATTATGTTAATTTTCAAAATAATAATTCTTATTCCAACACCTATTATCCGGGTTAGGAAGATCAATTGAACTTCAAGTGGTCTAACAATCAAACTTGGAATGCTAATCAAGGAGTTCAACAGGTTTCTCAAATACCTCAACGTAAACCCTCGCCTTTAGAGGATACCTTAGCTAACTTCATGAAAGAAACTCAAGCAAGCTTTCAGCAGGTAAGAAAATCTTAGGACACATGGTTAAAACTCAACAAAAGAGGGCACAAAATCAGATCATTATAAACCTGAACACTAAAGCATCTATGAAAAAGTTGGAGATGCAAATAGGTCAATTGTCGCGACAATGGGCAACTCAAGCAAGTTCAAATGAAAGTTGTAAAGCCATTAGGTTAAAAAAAAAAAGAGTAATTCCTTTAAATCCAGAGGTAAGTGGCGAAAGGAAAGAGTTGAGTGAAGTTACAAGCATAGTGGAAAAAGTAATAGTTGACAAAGAGGTCAAAAATAATCTGAGGGAGAAAAAGATGAAGAAATTCGTGAGGATGAAGTTTAAGTTTATACCCTTTTCCAATTCATAGATAAAAACTCACACATCCAAAGAACCAAGACACAAATCTTGAATGAGCAAAATCCAGAACTACCTAATTACATTAAATCACCATATCCGATTCTAAAGAAGAGGCCTAAGAAAGAGATGGAAGTAAGTCAATTTAAATAGTTCATGGAGATGTTGACAAAGATACAAGTTAAAATTCCTTTTAGTGAAGCTCTTGAACAAATATATTTTTATGCTAAATTAATGAAAGAGCTCTTATCAGGAAAATGTAAGTTGAAATATGATGAAAACACTGCTTTAGCGCAAGAGTGCAGTGCAATCATCCAAAGGAAGCTTCCACCTAAACTCAATGATCCAGGTAGGTTTACTATTCCTTGTTCCATTGGTTCACTAACAATTGGCCATGCTTTATGTGATTTAGGAGCAAACATTAATTTGAGACGGAACAATTTTTGCAACCAGCGATCCAAAAGTATCCTGAGTTGAAGGAACTTCCAAATCATTTGAAATATGTATTTTTAGGTGAGAATCCTTTACAACCACTCATCATCAACAACTCCTTGTCAAAAGCAAAAGAAGAAAAGTTGTTAAATAACAAAAAGGCATCTGGCTGAAGTGTAACTAATCTTAAGGGTATAAGCCAAACTCATTGCATGCATACGATAAACTTGGAATATGAGTTCAAATATATAGTTCAACCGCAAAGAAGATCGAATTTTATCATGAAAGAAATGGTTCAAAAAGAAGACTTAAAATTTCTTGGAGCAAGTATGATTTATTCGATTTCTGATACTTTTTTGGCGAGTCACATGCATGTAGTCCCTAAGAAGGAAAGAATATGTGTCAATAGAAATGAAAAGAGTGAGTTAATTTCAACTCGCACTATTACTGGATGACAGGTGTGCATTGATTATAAGAGATTGAATTAAGCAACATTAAAATATCATTTTCCACTACGATTTGTGGATCAGGTGTTAGAAAGGTAACCAGATCAAGCTTACTATTGTTTTTAGATGGATATTCGGGATATACACAAATTGTTGTAGATCCCGTAGACTAGGAAAAGACCACTTTCACACACCCTTTCAGAGTATTTGCTTACAGCAGGATGTCGTTTGGCTTATGCAACGCTCCCACTACTTTTATAAGGTACATGCTTTCTACCTTTTCGGATATGATCAAATTGTCTATTGAGGCATTTATGGATGATTTTTATGTTTTCGGTAATAATTATGATAATTGTGTTGCACGCCTTAAAGTTGTTATTGAAAGATGCACAAAAATGAACCTTGTTTTAAGCTGGAAAAAATGTCATTTTATGGCAACTGAATGTATCGTTTTGGGGCATAAAATTTTAGCAAAAGACATAAAGGCGGATAAATCCAAAATTGAGGCGATTAAAAATTACCCTCTCTAATGAATGTGAAAGGGGTGAGAATTTTTCTTGGACATCCCGGTTTTTACCGGAGATTCAAAAAGGACTTCTCCAAGATTTCAAAATACTTTTGCAACTTACTTGTTAAGGAAAATGATTTTTTTATGATGAGTGCCTTCAATATTTCTCTATTATTAAATAAAAGCTTGTGACCGAACCCATAATTGTTGCACCAAATTGGGAAATGCCCTTTGAATTGATATATGGTGCGAGTGATTACGCGGTAAGCGTAGTTCTTGGCCAATGCCACGATAAATTTTTAAATGCGTTTTATTACGCTAGTAAAGTTTTGAACGAAGATTAGGTGAATTATACCATAATTGAAAAAGAATTACTAGTAGTAATATTTGCTTTGAAAAAATTTATGGCATTTCTAATTGGTTTGAAAGTGGTTGTTTTTATATATCATGCAGCATTAAAATACCTTTTCAACAAAGAAAATTCTAAGACAAATCTACCCCGCTGGATATTATTTCTACAAGAGTTCGACTTGGAAATGAGAGACAAAAAAGGTCTTTATTAGCCAAGGTTGTAGTTTCATCCATAGTGACGTCTCTTGGATTTTTTGTTTCAAGATTCTGCTGGTCATCGTCTTCCTCGTGGTCTGAGCCATTTGTTTGAGACTGCTGAGTAGCGGTCTTTGCAGGCGGAGGGGGAGCTATTTCAAAGCCAGGTTTTTTAATTTCATCTAGTGAACTCATGCCAAAGCCCAAATCAGAAGTGGGATGGTATGTGGGCTCACCTTGGCTATTTAGAATGGTGGTTGGAGAAGGAAGATTATCCATTGGTGGCTTTGAGCCACTTGCATCAGCCTGAATTAAATAGGAAGTGAATTAGAGCAAAAGGAAACAAGGTAAGTAAGTGTGCATTTCAAAAATTGAATTGATAAGTTACCTTGACACCTTCAGCAGCAGGGCTAGAATTATTGCTTTCAGCATGACCTGCGGCTGGTTTAGAGGTAGCCTTAGAAGAGGCTTTTGTAGCACCACTGGTGGGGGTTGTCTTTCTGGATACCTTAGCCGTTTTACGATCAGATTGACCACCACCAGCATCTGTCTCTTGACTAATTTTCTTCCTTTTCTTCATCTATAAGTCTTCAGCAGCAGTGTCCTTTGAAACTGTCTAGCGTATGCTTAGTCGGAACCACCCGCTAAGCCTTGGGTTTCGATTGCTGATGAAGGATCTTTATAGAATCCCTACAGATGAACCAATCTGGAAATTGAGGGGCAAGAGCCACTCCAAAATTAGTAGATGGCAGTTGAGGAGTCTTCAGAGGGAATAGTGCGAAAGCCACTTCATAGCATTTCTCAGGAGGAATGTATGAAGGGAGTTTCAAACTTTCCATTTTCTTTAAAAATTTCTCTTTCAGCGTAACTGCAGCTTCACGGACGGTTCAACTAACATCACTTGGTCGATAAACAGTTTCAAAGTACTTCTGGAAGGCTTAAATCTCTTTGATATGAACGGATATACCTTTCTTGATCTTCTCCTGCACATCAACAAAAGCTTGGTCAATCAATTGAGTGAAGCTAGAGACGTCAAGGAACTCTGTAGTATAATGCCTTGACTACCAGTTGTAGAACTCCTGAGTGCAGAGGTGAGAAGGCTCAAAGTAGACAGGAGTAAGGAGTGATATGTGAGAATGTCGAGCGAGGTGTGTTGAACTCTCTATGGAATTATAGGTGGGGAAGGGTCACATGGACCTTCTTTTCATACAGACACTTGGGCAAAGTTTGGACCAGGCCAAATTATCGAGAGACAAGATTTGGTTGGTAGGCCATCAAAGCCGTTTGGCCCCTCAGGAGGTTGAGTCGGTGAACAATGAGTCGAGGGATTAGAAAATCCTCCTAGACAAGCTTCGGTTCTGCCTCATGTTTCTTGAATGCAGGAGGGCAGGCCCTAGTGAACCATTCAGGACCATACTTTCTTTCTGCAAATGGGGCCATTCTTGGTGTAAATTCATATCGCTTGGCAAACATCTTGATGAAGCTAGATAAGGACGCCCTAAGTGTCTGCTTTTCTTCGCTAAGGGTTATCTTCACCAGTCGAGTCCATTTGACTCGCCTCTCCTTGATTTCTGTAGCTTCCTCGTCGACAGTCCCTTTGTTAGGGAGACTAGTTTCAAATGTGGCATTAAGTCAAAGTTGGAGCAGCCAGAAGGGTCCTGACAGCAAGAGATTCCCATTGTTTTCTTGGTCTTTTAGTCGACCGGCACCTTCACTTAAAGAC